CTGGCTCCTGGGTCGGGGGTCTTGGTCCACTCCTGACTTTGTGACCCATGAGTGACTGAGCAGGAACAAAAGGCCAGCCTGGGTTCTCTTAAGCTCTTTTAATAGCTTGATGGGATGAAACTATTTCAAGAAATACCTTGGGTTATTTGTATTTCTAGTCCTGCAGATAATCCTGACTGGCACTTTCTTGCCTAAGGATGGTGGGGCTGTATCTCTCATCCTTGTAAAGTAGTTCTTGTTGAAAGCCCCAAAGAGCTAAGTTGGAACGATCCTCCTAACTCTTGCACTTTGAAGCTATAATGGGGCTGCAGGAGATGTCCCAGTGCAGCATTCTAAAAATTCCATTATCGCAGCTAAGGCTTCTATGTCCTTATTCCACATAAAATTATATTAAAACCGTTGACACAGTCTTAATGAAAAATATTTCATAACATAAAGGAGATAATACTTTCTCCCCATGTGTCCTTCACCCAATCCCTGGAATTATGTTCTAAGAAGGATTGCCACCATGGGCTCCTTTCTGCTGGCAACACACAGACTGTTTCTTTCCCTTTATCCACGTTATCTAATTGAAGCAAAATGATGCAGGCTTTGTGTAAGATCATGTTTCATTGCTCTGGGTACTTTCATATCTAATTTAGAAGTTCATGTGGTGTTTGTTTTAACAATTAATTGTGAAATTAAATTCAAGAAAGATGAATAGAGAGCACCTTTAGTCTTCCGGGGAGTCTCCCCTGTAATTTACAGAAGTGGGAAGCATATTTGGAGAGAGGGAAGATGCTGCATTTCAGAATGCAGGGCACATGCCACAGTGCTGTTTTTTAGTGGAAACTTCTAAATTAAGTTTTTCTAACTTCTGTTCTTGTTATGTTTTGCAAGGCTAAAATTTAAATTACAGCTGTGGCCAATTGCTATGCCTCCCCTAATTCATTTCCTTGTGTCTGTGAGCCTCTCCTTACTGCTGATTCATGGAGCATACTGCTTTCTGTAGCGTCCACAAACTTGCTTCATTACATCGTTCCAGAGGTACCTTTCCTTTTCTCCCTTGAAAAGGACTATTCTTTGAGAAGGAGTCCTTCAGAACTACAGGAAAACTCATGGATTATGTAATACACACCCTTTGCTTAACAGACATATACACTGAATTGCAAAGACACCTTTGCAGTTGAAGGAGTCAAGATGGGACCCAGGTCCCTGACCACTGGGCTGTACTGCCCACGGTTTCTTCTGACACATTCACAATCCAATATTTCAAGGCTTCTCAAAGTGGGCAGCCACATCATTCCTTAGAAGAATGGCAAATGTTTTGCAGACTGGTCTTGAAGGAAGTGGAACCTTTCCAGGGCCGGCAGTCCTGGGTGGTTCTCTCATGCACGTCCACGGCTGTTCCTGCGCACGCAGGCAGTGAGCTGGATCACCCTGTTGTTTGCAGCCAGATCAAATAGGAGGTGGGTGGGTGAGGGTTGGGGGGAAAAGGAAGCCAGTGCATGAAGAAGGGCCACAGTGAGACTTGAGGGCTTTGATGTCAAAGACAACAATGACAATGTTGACACCCACAAGAGCTAATATGTGGAGGAGCAAGCCTTATTCTGAGAATTCTGTGCATGTTAGTAGACAGCCCCACAAGGCAGGCTTTATTATCAGCTCCATTTTATAGATGAGGACATCCAGCCACAGAGAATTCAGATCACTTGCCCAAAGTCCCTGAGCTGGGAAAGGTGGAGTGAGGGTTTGCTCCCCGGTGGCTGCCTTTGGAGCCCAGGCTTCGCACCAGGCTGTGGCACTTCTCTGGGAGCCAGGACATGTCCACAGCCAGAGCCGGGAATGCTGTGCAAGGTGAATGGATGTCTGTTATGCCCCGTACCCTGGTCTGGCTTTGTACTTGTGTATGTCATGGCATTTAATTCTGAAAAGGTGCAGTAGGCTGAATAATGACCCCCTATACAAGATGTCTATACCCTTATCCCTGGGCTGTTTGCATATGTGCCCTTACATGACAAGAGGGACTTTGTAGAATGATTAAGGTAAGGCTCGAGATGTGGGGGTTATCTGGGTGGGCCCAGTAGGTCCTTACAAGTGGAAAAACTTCCCCTGCTGTGGTCACAGGCAGAGGTGATTATGGAATAGGGTCATAGAGGTGTGGTGTGAGGACTTGATCCACAGTTGATGGCTTTGAAGGTGGAAAAGAGGGGTCCTGGTTGTGGAATCTGGGTGGCCTCTATGGGAAGGTGAGGACCTGGATGCTGCCCTAGAGCCTACAGAAGGAACAGAAGGAACACTGCCCTGCTGACATTGCAATTGTGGCCCACCAACACCCTTGCTGGACTTCTGACCTCCAGAACTGCAAGAGAGAGGCCTGTGGCAGTGTGTGAAAGCAGCCCTAGCAAACCAATTCAGAGGCCCCAGGAGGGAGGTGTGACACTCCTGCTTATAGGTGCAGAAATAGGCGTGGGAGGAATCACACCTTGGTGTGGGAGAGGCAGGAATGAACTCAGGGTGATGCTGTATCCAAGTTCTTTCCATGGCACCAGCCCTCTCTTGGGGAGGGGAAGTGGAGAGGCCCAAGGCAGGGCACAGCTGAGAGGAGGCACTGAGCCTGACTACTTTCTCCCCACCCTGACTCGCCATCCCGCACACGTGGGCAGTGTGCAGCGAGGCACACGCCACCTTCACAGCCACATTGCGAGGCAGGGTCACTCCTCCTTTATGTGCAAGAGGAAATCTAAGTTTCGGAGGGCGGGGTGGGTTGGATGATTGGTCAGGACCTTGTTTATAATCAGAAGATCTGGCTGCGTGAGCTCCAGGGGTCACAGGGAAGGACATCTGGGGTACGTGTGTGTGAGTAAGAGTCAGCATATGTGACGTGTGCACGTGTTTATGTGGGACTCTGTGAGTGTCAGAGCGAGGGTATGTGAGACTGTGCGTCTCTGTGTGACAGTGTGTGACTGGATGTGAGAACATGTGTGACTATGTGCTGTGTCTGTGTGTGGGAGACTGTGCATCTGTGTATGAGTGTGTGTGCAAGTTAGTACGTGCGACTGTGTGTGTGCACGTGTGTGTAGTGCGAGTGTGTGAGGCCTGACAGTGTGGCTGAGTGTGTCCTCGCTAGTGAGGTGAGATGGCCGGGCGCTCTCGAGTCCCAGTGGCTGGCTTGCCCTCCGCGCCCACGCTGCTCAGAGGCAGAGGGCGCCTGACTCGTCTGTCACCCGCACCCGAGGTTGGAGAGTTGGTTCCCAGGCCACCATTGCTCTTGGGAGCAGGGCAGGTGCCGGGGTCCAGGCTGTGCCCCACCCTCACCGACTTCCTCCAGGAGATGGGCCGGCATGGGGTGGGCAGGACTCTGCAGCCCATGGGACACCCTCAGGCAGAGTTAGGGCCTAACATGGTTCAGCCACATCACACAGGGGCCAAGAACTGGCTTATCTGCTCTCCTGCACCGGAGACCTACCAGGGTGTAGACCAGAGGCGCCAGGCAGGTGTGCGCAAGGACAGCACAGCCTGCCCGCCTCCTGTAGGGCCGGGCCCTGTGTCTACACCAGGCGGGGACAAGAGCCACAGGGGACAGGAGCCATGGGGCTCACAGACGTGCCTTCGTAGGGTAGCAGGGTAGCAGGGTCCCTGTTTGTAGGATCTAGTCTTTAGATGGCATAGGTTGCTTTTACATGTTGAAAATATGACGATTGACTAATGTTTTTCCTGGGGTTACTCTGGTCAGTGGAAGGGTCAGTGAAATGCGGGGAGACCCATAAGGAGAAAGAACAGGATGTCTGCGCACCTGTGGGGCTCGCGCTGCTGGGTGTGCCCATGCTCTGCGGGGACCTGGGACCCACCCCGTGCCGGGCTCTACGTAGGCGCCACTGGGCCGGGGAAGGACAGCCTGAGGTCGTGGGTCCGTATCACTCAAGCTAACCTCCAAGCTTGAGCTCAGGGAGTGGGCTGGAAGAGGCCAGGGCGGCTCAGGGTGTGGCGCTTGCTTTTGGGGCAGCGCCTGTGCCCAGGAAGCACTGGAGTGAGGACGGGAGCAGGTGAGACAGCAGATCTCCGCACATCTGCAGATCCTAGGTCCTGTGCCTCTGAGAAGCCCCGAGGAGCGAGTATGTGGAGCACTTGCGGGCTCCCTGCGCTCAGCCAGCATTTGGCACTCGAGCCACGGTGAGCCGAGGGCCGGCTTCCCAGTGTGTCTTGACAGCTGCTGTGGTGAGGGAGGGAGAATTCTGGCTTTGTGTATTCCGTGCTTCCTTGCCCTCGTCTACCAACACAACCTCTGTTGTGAAACACCAGCGTGGCAGCGAGCGTGGGGCATGGACACGGGTACCCGGCTGTGCAGTCCTGGACCTCTGTGTCTGGGCCGGACCTGGCTGGCCCTCAGGCTGGTCTCCTGTCTCACTCCTGGGAAGGACAGTGCCCTGCTGGCCTGTGCGAGGCCTGGATCTGTGTTTGCGTCGAGGACTTCTGATGTTATCACTTGCTGCACTGCCTGTGAGGCTCCCTCTGCCCTTCCCACCCTCCTTCGGTCTCCTGGGAAGGTTTCCCCAGCACCTTGCAGGGTGTGTGTCCGGTCCTTCCGTCCTGAATTGCATTTAACTGTGTGCTTTTGGCTTGATGACAGTTTCAGTAATTGGGAATAATTGATTTATGTTGTCGAACTGATGGCCCAGTTGCCTGGGGAGCATGTGGCAGATAATTCGTGACACCTTGCTGCAGGTGTCCTGGTACAGTGTGCTGTGTCCAGCCCTGCACCCTCTTAGGAGGGTCATGTAGTTATTCAGGAAATGAAAGAATGAAAGCAGCTCTCTCTAGAAGCCTGGCTGATGGTGGTTACGCATGTCTGTGGGTCTGTGTCCAGGCCCTGAAGTATCAAGACCCGTGAGTTATTTATCATTTTGTTAGATGTGGGATACAGGGGCAGATGTAGGCACACACTCATGTCACCACAGGCTTCCATGAGTGGGAAATCCCTGGGTGTCTGGAATGCAGTAATTTCCTGTGTTTCTTTCCAGATCGTGCACAGAACTCTGGCAGCCATGCTGGGTTCCCTTGCAGCGTTAGCGGCCCTGGCTGTCATCGGAGACGTGAGTCGTAATGTTCCCAGTCCCTGGCTTACCACTTGATAGGACGTCAGACTCTAAGACATTTTAGGATTTAGGCTTTAGCTGGTGTTTTTCAATATTTTAGATGCCACTTCCATGTTTTTGCCCAGGAACCAACAAGCTACAGCACTGATGGGTATTTTTCGTTTGATTTTATCACACACGTCCCAGTGGTGGTGTTCTCCCTTTTGGCTGAGAAAAATGCTCCTCGTGGTCGTGCCTCTGCCCAGGGCTGTGTAGCTGAGTGGTGCTGGGCTAGATCCGGGTGTTGTCAGCCCTGCGGAATGAGAGGGGCCCATCCTAGCCGGAGCAGAGCTGGGAGTTGGGAGTCAGGTTCTGTCTTGCTGACATCAGGAGGCCCCTGGCGATGCACGTATGGGGGTGACAGTGCCCTGGCAGGGTCTGAGTGTGGCCCATCTAGCAGAGACATGGGGGTAAATGTAGGGAAGCAACAGAGACCGAGTGCCCGCTGCAGACGGTGGCCCAGAGTTGTTTGAGGGACGATGTTGGAACCGAATTCCAACAGAGGTGACCACACACAGACCTGGATTTGGAAACACCTTTATGGAATTCAATGGGATTATTCTGAAAACTAGCAGAGGCCATTCAGTCAACCAAAAAATAATAACTAGTTAAAAAAAAAACTATGTGGGGTATGTGTGGTGAGCCAGCCATTTATTATTATTATTATTATTTTTAAATTTAAATTCTGAATGTAGGCCCAGCCTGAAAGCAGTAGTAAGAACTGGAACTTTTTCTTGCCTAGAGTTGGTATAAATGAATGCTAATCCTAAAGGTAAAACATTCCAGAACCCTAAAACTTAGACATAAAACCGCCGTTATTTTTATCAATGGTTAAGGAGCAGGGGAGTAGCAGTCTATTTCATTTTGAAGCTTGCTAATGTGGCACATAGCAGGCAGGCGCTGTGGGAAATCCCCTGGGCCCATTGTGCAGCCCTTCCCAATAGCTGGACCCTGCAGGGCTGTCCCCTCATATTCCCTGTAAGAGTGGGGGCAGACGGAGAGCAGGACAGACGGTCATCCTGCTCATTGTCACCTGGCCTCGGGCCACGATGCGGAAAAAGGCACACATGGACTCCACTAAGAGTATAACCTCAAGGGCCAATCCTGCCATCCAGGCTGCAGTTCTTTGTAGAGTGACTGGGGACAGGGTTAAAGACCAGTGTTTTAAATTACTAAATGCACAGGTTTGACATCACAGATGCTTTGGGTCATGAGTGTTTTTCAACAACAATGTAATCCAATTTCAAGGCAAGTGGATGGTGTGATTTCCAACCAGTGAGTGGGTTTGCAGTAAAAGGCAGCCTATTTTTTCGAGCTTATCACTGGGAGGGGACGCACAGGATTAATTGGCAAATTTGTGCTTTGATTGCAGAGACCCAGCCTGACCGAGGTGGTGGAGTGGATTGATTTTGAGACCCTGGCTCTGCTGTTTGGCATGGTAATTACAGACCTCCCAGCGGGACGGGCCGCCGCCTGGGTCCTTCTCTTTTGCCTGCACTGCTGATAATCCTTCATTATACTAAAGACACTGTGCCTCGTGACGATTAGGGCTTGATTGGGACGGTGAGTGCAGGTCTAGCTAATTCCTCCTGCGGAGAAATGGAACGACCAGTGCTGGTTAGTTAGCTGGAGAACATCAGCCTGAGGCCTGTCTGACAATGAAATAGCATTGCCACTTAGAAAAGTTAGCAATTGTTTTGAATTACTTCCCTTAAAATAAAAAAATGGAATATCCCAAATAATGATTTGCATTTCCCTGATGATTAGAGATGTTGAGCATTTCTTCATATGTTTGTTGGCCATTCTTCTGTCTTCTTTAGAAAAATCTTCTGTTCAAGTCCTTTGCCCACTTTTTAATGGGGTTATTTGATTTTTTCTTCCTAATTTTCGTGAGTTCTAATAATCTATATCAGCCTATATTGGGATTGTAGCTTGTGAAATTTTCTCCATGCTGTGGGGTTGTCTGTTTGTTCTCTTGACAGTTCTTGGCTGTGCAGAAGCTTTTTTTTTTTTTTTTTTTAGACAGAGTCTCGCTTTGTTGCCCAGGCTGAGTGAGTGCCGTGGCGTCAGCCTAGCTCACAGCAACCTCAAACTCCTGGGCTCAAGTGATCCTCCTGCCTCAGCCTCCCAAGTAGCTGGACTACAGGCATGCACCACCATGCCCGGCTAATTTTTGTATATATATTAGTTGGCCAATTAATTTCTTTCTATTATAGTAGAGACGGGGTCTCGCTCTTGCTCAGGCTAGTTTCGAACTCTGACCTCGAGCAATCCGCCGCCTCCTCCCAGAGAGCTAGGATTACAGGCGTGAGCCACCGCGCCCGCCTGTGCAGAAGCTTTTTAATTTGATCAGGTCCATCTATTTATTTTGTTGCTGTTGTGATTGCCTTTGGGTCTCTTCATAAATTCTTTGCCTAGGCCAATGTCTAGAAGAGTATTTCCAACGTTTTCCTCTAGGATTCTAATAGTTTCACACCTAATGTTCAAGTCTGTTACCCAGTGTGAGTTGATTTTTGTGAGAGGTGAAAGGTGTGGGCCCTGTTTCAGTCTTCTGCATGTGGCTATCCAGTTTTCCCAGCACCATTTATTGAATAAGGATTCTTTTCCCCAGTGTATGTTTTTATCTGCTTTGTCAAAGATTAGTTGGCTATATGAAGATGGTTTTATATCTGGGTTCTCTATTCTGTTCCACTGGTCAGTGTCCCTGTTCTTGTGCCTGTGCAAAGCTGTTTTAATTACTATAACTTGTAGTATAGTTTGAAATGTGTAAATTGATACCTCCTATTTTGTTTTTATTGCCTAGGATTGATTTTGCTATACGGGGTCTTCTCTGGTTCCATACGGAGTGCAAAGTTATTTTTTATATATCTGTGAAAAATGATGATGGTATTTTGATAGGGGTTGCATTGACTCTGTAGGTCACTTTGGGTAGTATAGACATTTTAACAATGTTGATTCTGCCGACCCATGAGCATGATATATTCTTCTACCTGTTTACATCCTCTGCTATTTCTTTCTTCAGTGTTTCATAATTCTCCCTGTAGAGGTCTTTTACCTCCTTAGTTATATATTCCTAGGTACTTTATTTTCTTTGTTGCTATTTTGAAGGTAATTGAGTCTTTGATTTGGTTCTCACTTGCACTGTTGTTGGTGTATATGAATGCCTCTGATTCCTGTGTATTGATTTGTATCCTGAGACTTTACCAAATTCATTATCAGATCAAGGAGTCCTTTGGTTGAATCCTTGGGTTTTCTAGGTATAATACCATGTCATCAGCAAAGAGTGAGAGTTTGATCTCTTCTGCTCCCATTTGGATGCCCTTAATTCACTCTTTGTCTGATTGCTGTTAGGCAAGCACCACATGTACTCTCCAGCAAATTGGTATTAATGGATCAACGCTTAAGTGGACATATAGGAATAACATTTATCAGGTGTCGGGTGGGTGGGAGGAGGGAGGGAGGCATGGGCAATATATATAACCTTAACATTTGTACCCCCATAATATGCTGAAATAAAAAAGAGGGTTAAAAATACTAATATAAGTTTCTTATACTATATGTAAATTGGTATTAATATAATATCACTGTAATCTGTGACAAGTTGAAAATGTATATGATAAACCCTAAAGCTTAGGGAAAAACAAAGAGTAACACAAGGCTGTAGCTTGTGTAATAATGCAAGAAAAGAAATACAAGGCATTGATATTGGTAAGAAAGAATTAAAAGTCTTATTTGCAAATAACACAATTCCCCATGTACAAAATCTGATGCAATTTATAAAAGAGCTAGTAAAAATAATAAATTTGGCAAAGTTGCAGGATACAAGATCAATATACAAAAATCAATGGTTTTCTATATTTAGAAATGAATAGTTAGAAATGGAAATAAAAATGTCATTTAGAATAGCATCAACATATAAAATACTTTTGGGTAAATCTGACCAAACATACTGAAAGCTATAAAATATTGCAGAGAGTAATTAAAGAAGATCCCAATAAATTGAGAGATATGCCATGTTGATGGGTCAGAAGATGCAATATTATTAAGATACCAATCCTCTAAAAATTTATAAATTCTGCAATCCCCATGAAAACAGTATAGGGTTTTTTTTGGGTAGAAATTGATAAGCTGATTCTAAAATTTATATAGAAATTCAAAGTGTCCAGAATGGCCAACACCAAACAAACTGGAAGAGGTATGATGACCAGATACTGAGATTTATTATAAAGCTACAATAACCAAGGCAGTGTGGTATTAGCATCAAGATAGACAAATAGATAAATGGAACAAAGCAGGGAGTGCAGATGTAGAACCCCACAGACATAAACAACTGATTTTTGACAAAGGTGCAAAGTCAATTCACTGGGGAAAGGATAGTATTTTCCACAAATGCTCCTCAAACAAATGGATAGCCACACCTCCCACTATATCCAAAATGGACTCAAACTGAATCATAGATGTAAATGTAAAACCTAAAACTTTAAATTTCTAATGGAAAACATAAGTTGCAGTAGAATAGGTAAAGAAATAGTTCAAGTGAGGGTGTGGCTATTGTATTTCATTAAACTGGTTTTAGAACTTGGCTTTCAAATTCTGTTATTTTTCTCTTCTTTTTATGGCAACATTTAATGAATGTTGCAACAGCTTAACTGCCCCTGACTGGCACCATGTTAGTATTAATGTAAAAGTATAGGCATGGTGTCTTTCTTGGATACAAATTGAGTTAACTCTGCATCATTTTAAGCCTGCCCTTGCAGTCCTCGTTCTGAGTGCTCTGAACTGAAGTGGGATGTGATCCAAGACAGGCCCTGGGTCTCTATCAAGCCATGTAGAAAGCTGGAGTCCGAGAGCAGGTCTGTTAGACGATTCCCACAATCCTACATGGCATACTGAGATGCTGTTATGAGATATCCAGATAAATGTGATGGTAGAAGAGAAAGGTGAGGTTTTTGCAAAAATACTCAGAGAGCCCTGGAGGTGAGTGTCATCTCTGGTTGTGCAGAGGCTCAGCTAAGACTCATCATGCAGCTTTGTTCCAAAGTGACATCCTCTGGGGACATGGCCTTAGCTCCAAACTTACTTTACTGAGGATGGCATTCCTTATCTTCTACCTAATGACTTTCCCTGAATTTTTGGGTTAAACTGTATCTTCCAGAAAAGGTATCTTACGAATGGCCTTCTGTGGATAATCAAAAGTGTCTTTTAATTCATTTTATAGTAGATTGGAGATAAGGGGATACTTCTCCATATGGAGGCAAAAATGAATTCATAGTTCCAGGGGCAGTGTCTTGTGCAGATATTACTTTATAAAGTATAAAATGCATTATCAATAATGACAGCATAGTCATACATTTGCATCACATGATGGGCACATTTATTACACATTCTTTGGTTGTTTGTCAATGAACTCAAATGGGAAGAAACAACAAAATTTAAGTCTGAAAATCTTTAAAATATTCACAAAGAAAATTAATATGTAACTCAGGAGTAATAAATCAGTACTAGAGTTTGGAACAGTAAAAAGTCATCTGAAAAATTATCCACATTCTATGAGGATTAGGCAGAAATTACAGGAAGTTGTGAGGAAAGTTCTTTCCACCTGCCATTACTGCACATGCTGTGCATGTTGGGACATAGTTTGGCTACTTGTTTGCCACCGTTTTTCTCCATTCCCCTGGCTGACAAGTTTGACAGTTGCACTGGCTTCTGGTTCCCGTTCTGCCTCTCTAAAACCAATCTTAGTCTCCTTTGTAGGTTTTCTACTTCTGCCCATTTATTCAATATTGGTAGCCTCAGGCTTCTTTATTTTCGACCCCTTTTCCTCTCGGGTGGGCATTCTCTAGCAGAGCTCCTCCCGCCATGACTTGCTCGAGTCCTGCATGCTGGGATCTCCCACTTCTGTGTCTCTGCCAGAGGCTTTTAACTCCCTCAAATCCATATGTGCCAGGACCCCTCCATGGCATGCTTGATGGCCCCCTTTTACAGTATAACCCAGGGGTCCACAACCTGTGGTGAATTGTATATTTCATTATATAATACAATGTAGTAATAGAAATTAAGTGCATAATAAATGCAATGCACTTGAATCATCCTGAAATCATCCCCCCTCCTGTCCATTGAAAAATTGTCTTACATGAAAATGGTCCCTGGTGGCAGAAAGGTTGTGGCCCACTGGTAAAATCCACACCCCTCCTTCCTGCCTGACATCACACCCATTCCTGCAGTGCTGAGGTCCTCTCCTTACTGGACGTCTATACAGGAGTCTATTTTCAAATCATGCCATGTATATTTTACTAAAACAGTCAATAGATTCAGCTAAACACTTCATAAGAATTTGAGTTTTTCAGGCTCCGCAGGTAAAGCTGGGAAAGGAAATTTAGTTTGATCCTATTCATTTCTTTTAATTCCATCCACTTAAGTCACCCCACACTTACTGAA